CGGATTCACCAGCATCTGCAGTTCCTACTATCTCTGACAAATAGCACTGCAACCATTTTGCTGCTGTTCAAAGCAGAGCAGATATCCAGAAGTGGCAGGAAAAAAAGAGAACATCTATGGTGCAGCCACTCAAATCCCCAAATATAAAGAGAATGGTTAAAAAGCTATAGTTGCCATGTTCTTATCAGGCTGCTCTCTCATTAAAGACAGACAACTGGTGGTGTTTTAACCTGAGGGTCACCATAGGTCAGGGGAAGAGGGGGAGTAGAATCGTTCATGGTAATCTCAGCAGGTATTAAGCTCACTAACAGATTGGAAAACAATGAATGGACAGCATGCAATATTTTCAAAAAGGGACAATGTGACAGGTAACTTAGCCCTTAAGAATGACTGTGACACCCTGTTTGAATAAAAGAGAATGTCCTATACATTAAAATCACTTATTACAAAACATTTCCCTTGATTATATAGACACCCAAAAATGAAATTCACAATTAAAATAATACTTCCAGATTATTAGTCTTCATTCTTCTAACTACAAATGTCAGAGTTGCTTCGATCTTTCACATTGTGACACTGCCAGTTACTACGACTAGTTCCTCAGGTACAAAGTTATCTAGTTTACTAATATGCTAATTTACAAATATATAACATACCAAGGCTTCTTCAATAGCACCTTCCAAACTGGCATCCTCTACCATCTAGGGCAGGGTATCAGCTGCATGCACCATCCTAGAAGCATCCTATTTCTTCACTGATGAGGTCAAAATCCTGGAATTCCCTTTGTCATGGCACTGTGGGTGTTACCTACAAAGGAACTGCAGCAATTCAAGAGGCAGCTCATTACCAACTTTGCCAGAGCAATTAAGGATAGGCAATAAATGCTGGCCTAAAAAAAATGGTGCCCACATCTCATGAATTTGAAATTCCCTTCCTCAAAAGGCAGTGGATGCGTAATTTTTAAACATTTTTAAAAAGATGTGGGTAGATCAATTCTGGTTTATCAAGTGGGTGAAAGATTCAGGATATGCAGGAACGTAGGGTTGAAGATAAAATCAGATCAGCCACGATCTCATTGAATGACAGAGCAGACCTGAAGGGCTGAGTGGCCTACTCTTGTTCCTTTTTGTTTGACTGAATAAACAGCTCAATTACTGTTAATCCTAATCTTTTACCTTCTCACAGAAAACCCTAGAACACTGATAATTCCAAACTTCAAAATTTTAAGGATAGAAGGATGCAAGATACTCAAAAGAATTAATAAGTCTTTAATTCATGAAAATATCCAATGTTTATTTACACTTTAATGCATAACAAAATAAAATGACAGGACAGATAGCATTATTTATTAAACAGTAACTTGTCAATAGCATTTTTTAAACAGATGAAGTACCCAGGTTAGATTGCAGAAGCTTTGAAAGTAGCTTACAAATATGGTTGATAGAGTACATCTGATCATAGTTTAGATGTCATTTCTAAAACTAAAAAATCCATTTGTGAATTAGATGTGCAATTTAACTGGACACAAATCAATTTTAGTGGAAATTCTGATAAAATACTAGGTTTACTTTTTAAAAACAGATGGAAATCTCAAGTTGGACATAATAATACCTGTTACTCCAAATATAATCACTTAATGTTTAAACGTTGGAGAGGTAACTTTGCTGTATTGATTTTGGATCTTACTTACTATAGAGCAGTGTCACGAATGGAAACAAGAGGCTGTTAGCATCATTTCCTGATGACTTGAGAGCACATTTTACATTCTTGCACTAATTAGCAGTTTCAGAACAGAAACAAAGTGAATAATAAAATGCAAGAGAATTCACCCCTGTTGTATTTAGAAGTCTTTACCTTTGCCATTGCACGTTGACTCAGACAAACACGTGTCACTTTAGCTTATTTATTGGAACTATGAATTTGATCCTTTGTGCTTAAAATATTTGATGCACCGAAGCTCTAAGAGGAGATGGTGTTTCTTGGTAGAAAATCTCTAAGGTAGGTACCTGTTTGCAGACCTCTTTTGGTGTTTTTGAAATAACAGCTGCACAACAGCAACTTGAAATGAGCCCTCTTATCTTCGAATTTGGGAATAATGGCTCAACTGACACAGAATACTCAATGGAATGAATGCAATCAACGATCAAGTACAAAGTGAAATAATTTTGCACGTCCAAGCCCCATCATCTGCTGAGACAGCCGCATTTACTGTGATACTACACACGACTATCACTGGAGCTACATACAAGATCCTAATGGAGGCAGAGCAGTGATTTAACTGGAATGTACTGACTGTAACTGAACCAAAATCCACTTGAGATACTGGCCACGTACTGGTAATGTTTAGTGTAATGAGAACAAGAGGAAATGGTTAAGCAACTGCTTCAAACAAGCTTCATAACTCCAAGATTAGACTATAAAATTCAGTACTGGATTTGCTTAAGACCATTTAAGCGTCAGCTTCATAAGCAACTAGAGTTCAATTGTTTTGAAGGTGAGTTAACCAGTTAAAAATGAGACATTTTTAGAAATGTAGATACAACTTGAGCAATTAAAAGATTAAGTATCTTAAATATTTTCCAAAGTACTGCATTGAAACTCCGCAAAGAAACATTTCAAGAGCTCACAATTCTTTGTTCTGTTTAATTTAAATTACTTTACATTTTGAAGTCAGTCTAAACCTGCACCTCTATGCAAGCAACTACAATTAAAAAGTCTAATAAGGCACACATCGGTAATTTTAAAGTGCCATTCTGTAGATATTTTATATTTCAGGTAGTAGTAATAAAGCACAATTATTTATTCCAGATTAAAATATTTAGAGGTAGAAAGTTGACTTCCTGCCCAAGAACAAAAGACTTACATTTTAATAAGGTCTTGCACTGTCTTAGGATATCACAAATCACCTAACACCAGTGAAGTGTTTGTGAAGTGCATTAAAGTTGTGACTGGCCACCTGTTATAGAAACCAACTTTTTTTTCCCTTTTACATTCATTTCAGTGGAGATCAGAATTAGGTTGTTTCCTAATTCAGCAAAGTCATATCTTCAACTCTGGGCATGAAATGATCATTGATATTTTCAAAAGACTCTTCTGTACCAGAAGGTTCAGTGATTAAAGCAGCCTAAACACACAGGATAAGCAGGGTTGGGGGCCGGGAGAGGGGTTTGGGGGAAGGAGGGAGTGCACATGACTTTCAAATCAATTAGTCAGAGGCTCAAGGATCAGCAGTGCTAGGCATTCCTGATACAATCCACCAAAATTATAGATTATCATTTTCACACCTATTGAGATGCAAGCTGGCTTCCTAGGGTGCCAGGAAGGATTTGAACATTTAAAATATCTTGAAATGTGAATTTTTTGTTTCAATATGAATTATTGCAGGCACAAGTGGTTTATACTAGTAAGTGTTTCCAATAGCTATTTCTATTACAAAACTGAAAACAAGGCTCACAGTATTCTCATATTCTCCCTTCAGATAAATCATGAGTCTTTATCAATGGGAGTCATATACAAACATGTACCTGGAACATTTACAGGAGAAAACTTGTCAGTGCCATCCTTTATTCAAGTAAAAAAAATTCACTCCTGCTTTGTTTTAGTGTACCAGTGCATGGATCGGCTCACAGCCAGCTCCCAGTTTTCTATTATGGATTTATAGTCATGTAACACATCTTGTGGTTTGTAAATCTTTTCCACAGATCTTATAGTCTTCAGTTCTTCTCTGCTGCCCCAGTACCCTGCAACAAGTTTAAGAAAAAAGGTTTAACTATCAACAAGTACAGAAAAAAATCAATACACTTCATTAATAAAGATACAAATCCATCGTGTATGGATATTCAAAGTTTTGTGCCAGGGCAGAAGCGTAATCTGTGCCCATGATTCTCCACTATTTATGATCTTTGTCTCGTTATCAAGGGGATAAATATAAGAACAAAGATCAAGAGAAATCTTAAGAATTTTAAATAAAAATTGGGTCAAGTTATTTTCAAGCACATTCGTTCAGTTTCATTGCTGGACAACTGGAAATACAGTGCCCAATTACTCACTTTATAATAGATTGATATTTAGAGTTATGGAGCTATTCAGCATGAAAACAGATCCTATAGTCCAACTCGTCCACTCCAACCAGATATCCTAAAAATTAATCCAGTCCCTTTTGCCAGCATTTGGCCCATATCCCTCTAAACCCTTCCTATTCATATACCCATCCAGATGCCTTTTCAATGTTGTAATTGTACCAGCCTCAACCACTTCCTGTGGCAGCTCATTCCATACACACACCACCCTCTGCGTGAAAAAGTTGCCCCTTATAAATCTTTCCCCTCTCACCTTAAACCTGTGCCCTCCCTTACCATGGGGAAAAAAACCTTGTCTATTCACCCTCTCCATGCCCCTCATGATTTTATAAATCTTCTCCTCCCAAGAATTCCTCAACACCATCAAGGACATCAGAATAGAAGAGGTCGAGATAATGATATCCTTTGACGTAACAGCACTATTTACATCTGTAAACATTGACCTACATGCACCACCCTCTGCGTGAAAAGGTTGCCCCTTATGTCCCTTTTAAATCTTCTCTTTCACTTTAAACCAATGCCCTCTAGTTTTGGACTCCTGCACCCCTGGGAATAAAGAACTTGGCTATTCACCCTATCCATGCCCCTCGTGATTTTATAAACCTCTATTAAGGTCTCGAAGGTTTTGGAGTAAATTTGTAGCTCGGGTTGCGGGTGTTGAGGTTGGTTGGCTGGCTTGCCGAGCTGGTTTCTTTTATTAAGGTCTCTATTAAGGTCACCCCTCAACCTCTGATGCTTGAGGGGAAAACAACCCCAGCCGATTCAGTCTCTCCCTATAGCTTAAACCCTCCAACACTGGCAACATTAACTTCGAAAAGCTATGACGACACTGAAGAAACAATAAACTAAAAGATAAGGAGAGAGGGGTGCACGGAAACTTTAAAGTAGATAAATTTGAGAGCAAGGGAATATATATATTAATTTAAAAGGCACTTATTTTCAAATGTTCATAAAGAAGTTTCTAAAATCAAACAACCTCAAACTTTGCTGTCATACGAAGAACTCAAACAGAGAGCCATGTTACAAATAAAAAAGTCATTTCTAAAAATAATTGAAAATATTTTCTCTAAACAAAGCGACTAGTGAAAAGCTGCATATCTTTGACATACCATTTGCAAGGCCAGCTAAAAACGCTGCCCCGAGACTGGACATATCCACACGTTTCGGTTTCTCGATATCACAAGCGAGCAGATCTGTAGTAAGCTGCATGACAAACTGATTGCTGCATATACCCCCATCTGCCCTGTATGCAAGAACAAGAAAAACAGTTCACCAGCACAAAATGATATAAACATAATTCATACTTTGTCAGGAAAATTTTGCCGATACTTGACCACGCTAGCTATCATTCCCACCACTGCTATCTGAGATTTCTCTGGTTAATTATAAAATCCAGCATTTCAATTAATGCAAAATACTTAACTATCGCAACGTTCATTTATGTGAAGTGGCAGATACCTGATGCACGTAATAGGAATATGGATTTCTTTCAGCATTGTGTCATAAAGTTGTTTGTTCCTAAATGAAACAAAAAAAGAACAAATATATCTTTGAAATATAAAGTGCTTTAAAAAAAAAGAATTACATGCAACTTGAATATACAAATACAATTGTTGCAAATTTACGGAGCTCATACAGATTCTGCTGCTAGAAATCAAGGAGGTATTTACAGAAAATTTAGAGGTTACAGAGAATGAAGATCTAAATCAAAAACAAAATTGCTAGAAACTCTCAGATAACAAGGTGTGGAGCTAGATGAACACGGCAGGCCAAGCAGCATCAAAGCAGGAAGGCTGACGTTTCAGGCCTAGACCCTTTCCGAAACATCAGGCTTCCTGCTCCTCTGATGCTGCTTGGCCTGCTGTGTTCATCCAGCTCTACACCATGTTATCTCAGATTCTCCAGCATCTGCAGTTCCTACTATCTCTGCTAGAAACTCTCAGCAGGTCCAGCAGCATCCATGGAGAGAAATCAGAGGTAATGTTTCGTGTCCTTTTTCAGAACTGATGGGCGTAGCTAGAAAGAAGTTGGTTTTTATGCAGGCTTTTGTTGGGGGTGGAGGGTGGTGGTGGTAGTATGGGATAAGGAGCAAATGATAAGGTGGATATTGGGCTCAAAAAGATTAAGAAGAACCATTAGGCAGGCAAAGGAGTGAATAATGATCAGCCTGGGAGAACAAATAGCTGCTAATGAGGCCTATTAGTGGCTAACAATGGACAGTTTGTAATAGCAGACGATGTCATAACAAGGTCTGGTGTGTGGGGGTTGTGGTAAGGGCATGGGAGAAGATGGCTCAAACCCCAAAATCGTCAACACAATTTTGAGTTCAGAAGGCTGTAGAGTTCCCAAATGGAAAATGAGGTGCTGTTCTTCCGGCTTGCGCCGAGATTTGCTACAGCACTACAGCAAGCCTGAGACAGATGTTGGCCAGGGAACAGGGTGGTGTGTCAAAGTGGCAGGCAACTGGGTGCTCGGTCTTTTTTTTTTGGTGGGCAGAACATAGGTGTTCTGCAAAGTGGTCTCCCAGTCTACGCTTCTTTCCCACAAGGTAGAGGGGACCATGTTGTGAGCAGTGAATGCAGTGAAGTGCAGGTAAAGTGCTGCTCCACCTGGAAGGAGTGTTTGGGCCCTTGGATACAGAGGAGGGAGAAAGTAAACGGACAGGTTTATACCTTCAGCAGTTGCAGGGGAAAGGGCTGGGGGTGGTGGGGGTGGGTGGGGAGAAATGTTGGGAATGAAGGAGCAGTGAACCAGTGTGTCTTAGAATGGTCCAGGTGGAAGGCTGACAAGGGAGGGGAGGGAATGTGTGTCTGGTGGTGGCATCCCACTGGAGGTGGCAGAAATAGTAGCTAATGATCCTCGAGATGTGGATGCTGATTTGACGGTAGGTGAGTAAAAGGGGGACCCCTTTCGTTATTGTGGGAGGGAAGGGAGAGGGTGAAGGGTGAAGGCTGAAGTGTGAGAAATGGTACAGACCCAGCTGAGGGCCCTGTCAACTATGGTGCTGGGGAATTATCGGTTGAGGAGGAAGGTGGACATTAGAGAATAAGGTCTTTTTGTGAAACATGGCTCCCCCCCACCCCAAAAAAAAAAATCAGCGAAACCCTAAACTGTAACCGGAGACAAGTGATTTAAGTGGAACAGCGTGCATTTGCCCCTCGGGAATCAAGACCACTGGAACCACAGGAACCCACCAAAACCATCACTGGTGCTCAGTGTGTATGGGCTGGATATATTCTTCTACAGATTGGTTGCCTTGTCAACTATTTATCCTTCCGGAAATGTAGCTCACCATAAATACAAGCAAGTACACCAGCCATGAACCGACAATTGTCCACTATAGAGGGGAGGTTCAAGCTTACAGTTCTTGGGTTTAGAAATGACTTATCAGCTAGCCACGATACCAGGGACACGTCTGCAACTGAGAATGTGCAAAAACAAAACCTAGAATTTATACATGTAAAAAAAAACTCTAATGTATTGGCTCAGTTTCATTGTACAAGTCCAACATCTCTGTACAAGTCTTTGCACAATGCAAGTCTAACATCTTCTCTACAATCTGTTAGCGTACACAGTAGAACGAGGGGGCAAACTGTCTGAACACAGATAGTAATATTTTCATCAACTAACTGCATGATATAGTATTCAAACAAATATATGGACCACATCTGTACCACACACCTGTAGGCTATGGACTCCAGTATTGCTCGCACCAGATGAATTTTGGTTGTTGAAGGTTTCAGTCCCATAAATGACGCACAAGCATTAGGATCATTTAAAGGAGCCTGACCAAAACAAAACATATTTTTATTTCGTTAACAGAAATACACAACTCACTGTACATAAAGTATTTTGGATTATCAAATTTTTTTTTTAAAAAATGACTTACAGAAGACAGTGAAAGGCAGCATAAAAGAAAGGAGGAAAATTATGTCTTTTCATAAAGGCTGTCACTTCTGTAATTTACAGGGTGGGTCAGTTTAAAATGTTATGCATTCTCAGTGTTTTGAGAATTAAGGTGGTTTCATTTATATACAATCCACACATTATTAAATAGTTCTCAGCAATCCATTTATAGCTAGTTGTGTAAATCATGATAACGTACATGATTGAGCAGCAGAAGAAACTGCAACGCAATGTTCTACAGTACATTAGTGGGTAAATGTGTTACTTGATATGCCACTGAGGTATTAAAAGCAAGGTAAGCCTCAAATTTGGCTATTGGTCCATATCAAGCTCAGTCAGGGCAACATTTGGACCAACATAATATAGTCCGAGTGTTCACATGCTAGCAAGGGAAGCAAAAGGAAAGTAGCATAGTAGGGATATTACTGCTGATCAATATCCAGTTCTTCTGCAGACAATGCTTACACTTGGACATTAAACAAGGCAGCAGTTACAGCCCAAAAAAAATCTCACTGCAAATTGATGACAACGCTCATGAATGACAAATAATCATTTATCAGTGGGTCCGGGCACTTTCCGATTCATTTCTTCTCCAATTAAGAAAGTTAGGAGGAGAATTAAGAAAAGAATTATAAACTAAGTGCCCAACAGACATGCAATAACATGAGAATTGTGACCAACATGCTTATGGAATTACATACTGTACAAACATGTTAAATATGAATGTTAAAAGTAACTTAATACTCTGCTTAAGTTACACTGTCTTAAAACCGTGAGCTCATTCGCAGTTAACATTTAAAGTGGATTGTAATTTTGCTTCAGATATGAAGATGGGAAATTGGACAAACTGAGAAACTGCTGAAACAAAACATTTTGCCAGCTATACCATAAATCCAATTTAATGTTGGGCAGTCATTTAAATGCAACTCGACTGGGAAAGGTTTTCTGCGGCTTTTCCCTCTCCACTTTTGAAACTCAAAATAAATAGCACAGGCAAGTCAATTATTTGCTATTTTTATGAAGCCACCATTGCAAAGAAACATTTGATAAGTCAACTTTATTTAGTAAATGAATAATTTGGATTCTGAACTTTGTCTGTAAACTGATGATGCTGCTTTATAGGGCAAACTGCATTACAAAAACATTACCTTGAAAGCAGCGTTTTAATGCACAGCAAGCCTAATTCTTTAATTTCCAAGGCAGGCTGTAATTATTTTTATTAACATTTCTGTGCTATAAAATCATCTTTTTCCTTCCATTCATTTGGATCTCTACATCCTTATTGGCAAATATTAAACAGAAACACACCCAAACCATTCAAAATGTTTAATATAGAGTCCTATCAGCTATTAAAAGGGATGATAGTTACTGTGCAAAATAGTTGAAAGTAATTCTTTAACCCACAGAAAATCATTTGGAGTACGGATTTGAAAAAAAAAAGTTGCTCCTGACGACCATGCTGCAAAAATGAGGATTAACAGGATATTCACTTGCTTTATGTTAGCGAGGATATTTGTGGGCAAAACATCCATACCCTCGTTGATTTTGATGGACAGGTGAATAAATAATTGTGATAAATAAACCATAAAGGTGGGTTCCTGCTTTCAACCTACTACGAAGTTCTAAGTAATCCATTCTAAGACCACAGACAAATAAAACGCATAAATTTCATGATGCAGAGTTATTCATTCCTCAAAGAACTAAAATACACAAAATACAGAAAAGGTCTGGCAGCATCTATAGAGAGAAATCAGAGTTAACACTGCGGATCAGGTGACCCTTCCTGGAGTTCTGGGTAAGGGTCACTCGACCCGAAATATTAACTCTAACTGCTCTCCACAAATGCTGCCAGACCTGCTGAGCTTCTCCAGCAATTTCTATTTTTGTCTTTGATTTACAGCATCCACAGTCCTCCTGTTTTATATAGCAATGATTCCATTGAATAATTAATGGGGTAATGTTAAGACCGCATATTAAGTTACTACACTGAAGGAGAGTCACTGGGCCTGTAACGTTAACTCTGCTTTCTCTCCACAGATGTTGCCAAACCTGCTAAGTTGACCAACAATTTCTGTTTTGGTTATTAAGCTGCTAACATGGCTGAGCATTAATGATCTGTGCTGAAACAAGGGAAAGCCAGGTGCTGAAGTCAGAATACAATAGTAAATTGCAAGTAAATTTGAGGCTTCATATTGATGAGCAGCTTTTGTTCCAAAAAAAAGATAAAAATCAGTGAGGCATTGTCTTACTTAACACTTATATGACCAGTTCTCCTGTGTTACAACCCAGTCTTTCAATTTTGGATATGTAACACAGTCAAATTAAAAGACTCCCAAATAATCACTCCGATGGTTCCTAACTAGAACTATTTTGAATAGCCAATCCAAGGCTTTGTGAAAAATTAAACTTCCAGACACCAGTTTTGTATCTTAAACAAGAGATGCAATTATTTATGAGACACAAAATAACTTTAGCAGAGAGAGAATATTAACCAGCTTACCATGTTGTTTAATGTGCTTCAAACCTCAAACATTTTTTTCATCCCCCATTCACACACAAGATAGACAAACACAGTTAAAAGGAATAAATAAAGGCAAACAACAAAGCTGGCTAGATTACTTAAATGTCCTTCAAGTATTATTTCACAGGCAGAAATGGGAACTTCTTGGTCACTTTTCAGAAACATTGATGATCAGGGTCACCTTCTTAGTTCACCCGGGCAAAAGCAGCAATACTTTCAAACTCAGCTTTCTACTCTTTAGACTTCCGGAAGCTGGTGTATCAGATTAGGCAGAGAGCTTTTAAGTCTTCATGCTGTCTCAGGAACAATCCAGAACCATTTCTCATAAAACAAACAGTTTAAAAACAAACTTTAATCCGATTCCACCCTGATAGACTCATCCCGATGCCGCAGTTATCATTTACCAACAGCCATCTGCTGGAGCACAGTGTCTCCTCCAGACTTGCCGGATCCAATTTGCAGGTACTGACCTAGTTAACAGCCAACTTCTGCTATCTAGTTCAACACAAATGCTCTTCCTGGGTTCTTTCTGTCCGTCTGAACATTTTTAGATCAAGGCCAAGTCTGCAATTAACCTCCAGGCCTGGCTTCACAAACAAAGCTCATTTGGTAAGTTCTTTGCCTTTTACCACAAGCTGTCCACAAGTCATTTTCAGTTCAATTCAAAATTAATAAAAGAATCAAAATAATGAAAAGTCAGTGAAAGTTCTAACACTTGGGATTGCTTGTGACAAATCAAAAGCTCAATTTTTTTTTTGTTTTTTTTTTTTAAAAACAAAAGGGGTTGGACAGCTCCATCCAGGAATGGAAAACATTCTCCCAAAGTGGACTTATTTTTTTCTGAAGTCGCAAAGCTCAACATAAATAATAAAGGTTCAGCAATCGCTTATTAGCTAGTGATATTAAGCCTGCATTTCAGAAGGACTCTATATTGAGATATTTACTTGGGGGTAGCTATTTAGACCCAATAAAGTTTATGATCCTTTTTTTTTTTTTTATAAAGGAAGTGCGATTGTTAAGAGTCAGACAGCACAGACACAGACCTTGCGGTCCAACAATGCCGACCATAATCCCAAACAAAGCTAGTCCCACTTCCTGCACTTGGCCAATATCCCTCCAAATATTTCCCATTCATGTACTTCATCAAATGTCTTTTAGATGTTGTAACTGTACCAGCATCCACCACACCTCATGGCAGTTCATTCCACATACGAACAACTATGTAAAAAGTTGCCCCTCATGTCCTTTTTAAAAACATTTCTCCTCTCACCTTAAAAAATGCCCCCTTGTCTTGAAATCCCCCACCCTAGAGAAAAGACACCTGCTATTTATTAAGATGGTCACAAGGTTGTCACGTTTTGTCATGGCGACCAAGTGATTTGTATTGCTGGTAGTTTCTGCATAGACATTTAAAACAACTGACTTTTCCATTTTATAAAGATGAAGTTTACATGTTTGCAAATCAACAAATGTTGTTTTAATAAATCCCAACTCCTGCAGGCACGGGGCCTGCACACAAATAACATCTGCATAGCACCTTTCGACATCAAAGAGCACATCCACAAAATCCCACTCCCTCTCCATCGCTGACATGCAGTAGCAGTGTGCATCATTTACAGGATACACTGCAGAAATTCATCAAGGATCTTCAGACAGCACCCAGCACCTTCCAAACCCAATGACTGGAAACTCAATTGGACTCATGACAAACAGTGGCTACTAGAGCAGGTTAGTGGCGAGGAAGACTGCAGCTCCTGACTCCTCAAAGCCTGTCCGCCATCTACAAGGCTCAAGTCAGGAGTGTGATGGAACACTCCCCACTTGCCTGGAGGAGTGCAGCTCCAATAATAGTCAAGAAGCTTGACACCATCCGGGACAAAGCAGCCTGCTTGACTGGCACCACATCTATAAGCATCCACTCTGTCCACTCAGTGCCAGGAGCAGTACCATCTACAAGATGCTCTGCGGAAATTCACAGAAGATCCTTAGACAGCACCTTCCAAACCCATGACCACTTCCATCTAGAAGGACAAGGAAGCAGATACAGGGAAACACCACCACCACCTGCAAGTTCCCCTCCGAGCCACTCACCACCCTGACTTGGAAATACATTGCTGTTCCTTCAGCGTCGTTGGGGCAAAATCCTGGAATTCCCTCCCTAATGGCATTGCGGGTCTACCTACAGCAGTACAGACTGCAGAGGTTCAACATCACCTTCCCAACGGCAGCTAGTGATGGGCAATAAATAGTGGCCAGTCAGAGAAGTCCACAGCCCACGAGTGTCGACTGTTGTATAAACACATGTAGTTCACTAATGTCCTTTAGGAAAGGAAATCAAATGACTATAAATGACTTCAACCTGCAGTAATGTAGGTGACTCTTATCTGTAATTGCCCAGAGGGTAGTTGAGTAATAAACAGTCTAGCCAGGGAAAACTGCATCTCATGAACTAAATGTTTAAAAACTAGACTGACTGACTAAGCCTGGTCAAAGGACTGGAGTGAAAACGTATTAAGGTTCAGGGAGGGAATGAGGATCTAGTTGATTAAAGACATACCTGCTTATGATGAGGCAAACTGAAGGAAGCAGATATACAAATGAGGTTACTACAGATCAGTGCTTGGAGGGAAAGAGAGAGATAAAGTGACCCTTTTAACGTTGATAGAAAGAACATATGACATCACACATTGCTGGAAAATGCACTTCTAACTCATTACTGAAATTATATTTAAAAAGTCAGTTTTTGCCCAGTGATCTTGCAAAAAGGACTGGTCAGTTCCCAATGTGTCAAAAGAAGTGAGATTTACCACACCCATTATCTATAATTACCATCAATTCTATGTTTCTTCTCTTTCCTTTTCCAATTTAGAAAATGCATTTTATTTCTAATGGGACACACTCATTGAAAACCAATGTAAACCTAAGTCAGGAGATTAGGATGGCTTTGTATGCGTATACATTTTGTTTGCGTGCGTGTCACAGGGGGTGGTGGGTGTGCATGCGTGCTGATGTTACACTTGCGACAGGGGTTTATTTAAACCAAAAACGGCAGCTTGTCTATCACCTACCTTGCCCGCACCACAGTGTTATCAATAGCAGGGATGGCATCTATGGATAAGAGCGGGGAGGGAATTGGCACTGCCAGTAGATCAATTGCAGACCTTAAGTGGACAATGAGCACCCTCATTCCACCAGGCCCTCAAAGTGACCAGCCTGGCAGCTGCAAGGATTGTGGGACCTCACTCCTTACTCTGCCCCACCACCCCAAACAATAAATTTATACAATGGTGTACAAAACTGAGGGACATAGACAGGGTAGAAAGACATTGCCAGTTATCAGGAACAAGCCCCGTCTGGTTCACTAATGTCCTTTAGGGAAGGAAACTACCATCCTTACTTGCTCTAGTCTACAAGTAACTCCAGAGCCACAGCAATGCGGTTGACTCTTAACTACCCTCTGGGTAATAAATGCTGGCCTACGAGCAACACCCACATATTGGACTAAAAGATCTTTCCTCCTAGTGGAAAGGTAACAACCAGGAATACAGTTTTAAGGAAGGAGCAGGAAGCTTAGAGGGGATCTGAGGAGACATTATCCACCCAGAGGAATCTGGAACTCAGTCCCTAAAAGGCTGGAAGAGGCAGGAACCCTCAAGACATTTAAGTATTTAGATGAGCACTTGCCACAGTGTACAAAGCTGTGTGTCAAGTGCTGGAAAGTGGATAGAATAGATGAACGCTTAGTAACTGGCATGGACACGATGGGACATAGGGCCTCTTTCTATGGTGTAATAACTGTGGCAAGGGGACAGCATACAACCCATTTCATGTTCTCAAACTTGGCCCCCCACACCTCTCACCAGGATCTGGCAAGACGATTACACACTTAAAAAGGCAGGATTTCTTGCCCCAAATGGGCAGAATGGCCTCAAGTCTATTAATGGCCAATTAAATGACTGCAGGGCAGCTGTGGTTCTGCTGGAGAAACTCTCTATCAACCTCTTCAACTCGTGGACTCGGGCTGTGCATTACACTATCACAAAGGACTGTCCCACACCACTGAACGGTTGGGTTTCTGGCCATAATTAACACGCACTCTGACCTAAATGACACACGGTGAATGGACAAGAAGCGAAATATTACAAACAAAAACACCTCAGTGGGCTCATTTTAGGAAACACCTACAGTATGCTAAAGAGTCACAAATGTTCCAGTCTGTTGGCCTTGTGATTTCTTTGGCGCTCTCAGGATGCAGAAAACAAGGCCACACTGATTATGTCAAGCAAAATCTGAAAGAACTGCAGATGCTGTAAATCAGAAACAAAAACGAACTGCTGGAAAAGCTCAGCAGGTCTGGCAGCACCTGTGGGGAAAAAAAATCAGATGTTAACGTTTCAGGTCCAGCGACCCTTCCTAGAACATTGATTATATCCCTGTTGAACCTGTGAAGTTGGCCCTTCTAGAGTCCCTGCAGTATTACTGCAGATGGTGCTCTCACAACAGTTCCCCATAAGAAATTCCAAGATGTTGACCCAGCAACAGTGATGCACAGGCAAGTCCCTCAGTGTGAGACAAAGAAGACAGGAGATGGGATTTTCAGGCATTGTGTGGTGTGCTAGCAAGTCACATGGACTGAGAAGTTTCAGTGTATAATCCTTTTCCTGGTTCTCTCTTTCTCCTGTGGAGAAATTCAAACCTGTCGCTCTGCAGATTTCACAGGAATGAACAGCTGAGAAAAAGAATCAAGTGTGTAGATGTTTATAAGCATGATCTTCCATTCTACCACATCACACCTCCAAAGTATTGTACCTCAATGTCAATCTATTGTGCTGATTGTTTGCTCAGTATCTATTGTTTGAAGTGCAACTTGAAGGAGCTTGAATTTTATTTACCACAATGACTAAATGTTTCATTATCCTACACTAGTAAAAATACTGGCGCTTTAATAATTTGGTGTATTCAGACATTTAAATAACTCCAAGGGTCCCCACACATTGACTGGAATGCTGATGTGTTCACTTTCCATTCCAGAAGTCATGGCCACACATGGACCTCACAGGCTCATGCAGAAGGAAAGAAAACGAGATGGAATGTGGGTTAGAAGACATATTCGGTTATGTTAGTATTGAGTTTTGGCCATGCTAACCAAACAAAGGGAGTATAGGGTTTGTTGAAGGCAGACTCATGCAAGTTAGAAGCAATGCCCATTGTCTTAATCAAAAGTATTGAGAGAAGCTTGTCAAAGCTAGTGAGGTACACACACTAATCACTAAACACTGTCTGAAATCAGCCATGACATTTTATTCATTAAAACAGCGCAATACTAAACAGAAATTTGTGAAACAAGATGTTGCACTGATTTAAATTAGTTACAAGGATTTTGCAGCTGCTGACAGATAAAACTAACAACCTATCCATTGTGCACATTTACCTGTAATCCACTAAATGATGGGACAAAGAACACACCATCTGTACTTTGGACTTCCTGTGCCATCTTTTCAGTTTCAGCAACATCAGAGAATAAACCTGGAAAAGACAAAACCAAGTGAAGGAGGATGAATTGGGTTTTTCAGGTTAAAAACATTGTTCTTGTACCTTTATGCCAAAATCTTTATTGTCCCTTAGCTCTTGTACAATTTTCTTTTGTCTATTAGAGTCAGAGTTGTACAGCACAGAAAGAGACCTTTGGGCCAACTCGCCCAAGCCAACCAGATACCCGAGATAAATCTTAGTCCCATATCCCTCTAAACCCTTCCTATTTATATACCCATCCAGACGCCTTTTAAATGTTGCAATTGTACCAGCCTCCACCACTTCCTCTGGCAGCTCATAGAACATAACAGCGCAGTACAGGCCCTTCGGCCCTCAATGTTGCGCCGACCTGTGAAACCAATCTGAAGCCCATCTAACCTACACTATTCCATTATCATCCATATGTTTATCCAATGACCATTTAAATGCCCTTAAATTTGGAGAATCTACTACTTTTGCAGGCAGGGCATTCCACGCCCTTACTACTCTCTGAGTAAAGAACCTACCTCTGACAGCTGTCCTATATCTATCACCCCTCAATTTAAAGCTATGTCCCCTCGGGCTAGCCATCACCATCCAAGGAAAAAGCCTCCCACTGTCCACCCTATCTAATCCTCTGATCATCTTGTATGTCTCTATCAAGTCACCTCTTAACCTTCTTCTCTCTAACGAAAACAGCCTCAAGTCCCTCAGCCTTTCCTCATAAGACCTTCCCTCCATACCAGGCAACATACTGGTAAATCTCCTCTGCACCCTTTCCAATGCTTCCACATCCTTCCTATAATGCGGCAACCAGAACTGTACGCAATACTCCACGTGCGGCCGCACCAGAGTTTTGTACAGCTGCAACATGACCTCATGGCTCCGAAACTCAATCCCTCGACCAATAAAACCTAACACACCGTACGCCTTCTTAACAACCCTATCAACCTGGGTGGCAACTTTCAGTGATCTATGCACATGGACACCGAGATCTCTCTGCTCATCCACACTACCAAGAATCTTACCATTAGCCCAGTACTCTGTATTCCTGTTACTCCTTCCAAAGTGAATCACCTCACACTTTTCCGCATTAAACTCCATTTGCCACCTCTCAGCCCAGCTCTGCAGCTTATCTATGTTCCTCTGTAACCTGCAACATCCTTCCACTATCCACAACTCCACCGACTTTGGGGTCATCCGCAAATTTACTAACCCATCCTTCTACGCCCTCATCCAGGTCATTTATAAAAATGACAAACAGCAGTGGCCCCAAAACAGATCCTTGAGGTCCACCACTAGTAACTGAACTCCAGGATGAACATTTCCCATCAACCACCACTGTCTTCTTACAGTTAGCCAATTTCTGATCCAAACCGCTAAATCACCCTCAATTCCATGCCTCCGTATTTTCTGCAATAGCCTACCGTGGGGAACCTTATCAAACACTTTACTGAAATCCATATACACCACATCAACCGCTTTACCCTCATCCACCTGTTTGGTCACCTTCTCAAAGAACTCAGTAAAGTTTGTGAGGCACGACCTACCCTTCACAAAACCGTGTTGACTATCCCCAATCAAATTATTCCTTTCTAGATGATTATAAATCCTATCTCTTATAATCCTTTCCAACACTTTACCCACAACCGAAGTAAGGCTCACTGGTCTATAATTACCAGGGTTGTCTCTACTCCCCTTCTTGAACAAGGGGACAACATTTGCTATCCTCCAGTTTTCTGGCACTATTCCTGTAGACAATGACGACATAAAGATCAAAGCCAAAGGTTCTGCAATCTCTTCCCTAGCTTCCCAGAGAATCCTCAGATAAATCCCATCCGGCCCAGGGGACTTATCTATTTTCACACTTTCCAGAATTGCTAACACCTCCTCCTTATGAACCTCAATCCCGTCTAGTCTAAGAGACTGTATCTCAGTATTCTCCTCGACAACATTGTCTTTTTCCTGTGCGAATACTGACAAAAATATTCATTTAGTGCCTCTCCTATCTCTTCGGACTCCACACACAACTTCCCACTACTGTCTTTGACTGGCCCCAATCTTACTCTAGTCATTCTTTTATTCCTGACATACCTAAAGAAAGCTTTAGGGTTTTCCTTGATCCTACCTGCTAAAGACTTCTCATGTCCCCTCCTGGCTCTTCTTAGCTCTCTCTTTAGGTCCTTCCTAGCTAACTTGTAACTCTCAAGCACCCTAACTGAGCCTTCACGCCTCATCCCTACATAAGCCTCCTTCTTCCTCTTGACAAGAGATTCAACTTCTTCAGTAAACCACGGTTCCCTCGCTCGACCACTTCCTCCCTGCCTGACAGGTACATACTTATCAAGGACACGCAGTAGCTGTTCCTTGAACAAGCTCCACATTTCAATTGTGCCCAGCCCCTGCAGTTTCCTTCTCCATCCTAAATCTTGCCTAATCGTTCATAATTGCCTTCCCCCAGCTATAACTCTTGCCCTGCGGTATATACCTATCCCTTTCCATCGCTAAAGTAAACGTAACCGAATTGTGGTCACCTACCTCCAAATCTAACACCTGGCCTGGTTCATTACCCAGTACCAAATCCAATGTGGCCTCACCTCTTGTTGGCCTATCTACATACTGTGTCAGGAAACCCTTCTGCACACATTGGACAAAAACTGACCCATCTAAAGTACTCGAACTATAGCGTTTCCAGTCAATATTTGGAAAGTTAAAGTCCCCCGTAACAACTACCCTGTTACTTTTGCTCCTATCCAGAATCATCTTTGCAATCCTTTCCTCTACATCTCTGGAACTTTTTGGAGGCTTATAGAAAACTCCCAACAGGGTGACCTCTCCTTTCCTGGTTCTAACCTCAGCCCATACTACCTCAGTAGACGAGTCCTCATCAAACATCGTTTCTGCCACCATAATACTGTCCTTGACTAACAATGCCACACCTCCCCCTCTTTTACCACCTTCCCTGATCTTACTGAAACATCTAAAGCCCGGAACCTGCAACAACCATTCCTGTCCCTGCTCTATCCATGTCTCCGAAATGGCCACAACATCGAAGTCCCAGGTACCAACCCATGCTGCAAGTTCACCCACCTTATTCCGGATGCTCCTGGCGTTGAAGTAGACACACTTCAAACCACCTTCCTGCCTGCCGGTACACTCCTGCGACCTTGAAACCTTATTCATGACCTCACTACTCTCAACCTCCTGTACACTGGAGCTACAATTCAGGTTCCCATCCCCCTGCTGAATTAGTTTCATACACACGCACCACCCTCTGTGAAAAAGTTGCCCATTAGGTCCCTTTAAAACTTTCCCCTCTCAGCTTAAACCTGTGCCCTCTAGTTTTGGACTCCCCACCCCAGACCTTAGCTATTCACCCTATCCATGTCCCTCATGATTTTATAAACCTCAGGTCACCCTTCAGTTTGAGATTCTCCAGGGAAAATAGCCCCAGCCTAATCAGCCTCTCCCTACAGCTCAAAGCCTCCAACCCTGGCAACATTCTTGAAAGGGTTCAGAAAAACGAGTTACAGATTTCACAACATCCTTCCTATAGAAGGGTGACTAGTATCGTGCACAGTACTCCAATAGTGGCCTAACCAATGTCCTGTACAGCCACAACGTGATCTCCCAACTCCTATACTCAATGCACTGTCCAATAAAGGCAAGCATACAAATGCCTTCAGAGATAGTAGGAACTGCAGATGCTGGAGAATCTGAGATAACAAGGTGTAGAGCTGGATGAACACAGCAGGCCAAGCAGCAGAGGAGCAAGAAGGCTGACGTTTCAGGCCTAAAGCCTTCTTCAGAAATGGAGAAATGAAACATACAAAATGCATACAAATGCCTTCCTCACTATCCTATCCTATCTACCTGCAGCACCTCACATTTAACTAAATTAAACTCCATCTACCACACCTTGGCCATTGGCCCATCTGATGAGGATCCCGTTATAATTAGATAACCTTCCTCACTGTTCACTGAACCTCCACAATCTTAGTGTCATCTGCAAACTTACTAACCATACCTCCTCGTTCACATCCAAATCATTTATATAAAATGATGAAAAGCAGTGGACTCAGCACCGATCCTTGTGGCATACCGCTGGTCGCAGGCCTCCAGTCTGAAGAACAACCCTTCACCACCATCCTCTGTCCTCTACCTTTCAGCCAGTTTTGTATCCAAATGGCTAGTTCTCGCTGTATTCCACGTGATACAACCTTGCTAGCCAGTCTACCATGAAGAACCTTGTCAAATGCCTTACTGAAGTCCATACAGTATTTATCGAAACCAAGTCATAATCTCAGAAATCTCAATTTCAGCATAGGAACAGGCCCTTCAGCCCATCATATTTATGACTACCAATAAACACCAGACTGCACTAATCCCATTTACCTGCACTTGACATTTTAAGTACTTATCCAGACGCTTCTTAAATGTTGAGCACCTGCTTCTAATACCCTCTCAGACAGCACTTTCCATGTCTACCACCCTCTCGGTTAAAAAGAATTCAAGATGTCCTCCAAACCACTTGCTCCTCACCTTAAACCTATGCTCACAATCTACTGTCTATGCCTCTTAATTTTGTTCAAGAAAGAGAGACAGATACATGTTCAGACTTTAAAAGGCATTAAGCGGTACAAAGAGAAAGTGTAAGTATGGTATTGAGACAGAGGATCACTTGTGATCATACCGAATGGTGCAGCAGGCTTAAAAGGCCAAATGGCCTACTCCTGCTCTTAGTTTCTATGTTTCGAAAAGGGATAAAGGTCCTGAAGGCAGATTTCAGGGAGTTAGAAAGGAAATTTAAAAACAGATCCTCCAGCAGTAATCTCAGGATTACCCCCAGTGTCATGTGCTAGTGAACACACGAACTGAAGGACTGATGAATTGAATGGGGTGGTGATGGAAGGCATTAGATTCCTGAAGCACTGGAATCAGTTCTGGAACAGGTGGGACATGTACAAACTGGATGGGTTACATCTCAACAGGACTGTGACAAATATCCGTACTGGGAGATTTGGAAGTGCTATTGGGTCGGATTTAATCCAACTTGT